AGCCGGTCGGGCACCAGGAACTGCTCGTCCGGCCGCAGCAGGCTCGGGTACGTGGTGCCGCTGCCGCCCGTGCCCTTCGCGTTGTGATACACCTGCAAATACACGCACTCCCTGTTAGTTCCACAACTCCAAATGCTACTTGCATATAAATACTCACAAACACTTGAAACAGGAATAGAAGACACTGATAATATATATATATGTATTCTTACCTTATTTCTTCCCAAGTCCCATCCCCAGCTCTGATCGGTGGCCCCGACGAGGCTCTGGTAGCCGACGGAGTGCAGGGGGGCGTGCGCGGTGGCGACGCCGACGACGGCGTGCGTGCCGCGCTGGCGCGCCGGCCACACCACCTCCCAGCAGTGCAGCCCGCGCGAGTAGCCCACGCGGCCGCGGATGCAGTCCGTGCTCTGCGCCACAGGATGGCGGTGGAACGTCAGAGCGTCCTCCTCCTTCACGAAGATGTTCAAAGATCTGAAAACACATCACACCTACATGTTAGTATAAATATCAAATAGATACGAAAAATAACTTGCGAGGTTATGTTTCAATTGACAATACATACAATACAAGAAGTTGCAGTGGAGTGTAGTGAACTAAGAAACTATCAACCAAATTTAAATTCTAATAGTTGAATACTGCTTACAGACGAGAAGAGCTGGCAAGTGATTGAAAGCAATCAAATGTAAAATAAACTTTTACATGAAATTTTATTAGGGAAACTAAGTTTGAATGTGGGGACTAAAAATGAATTCGTTAGAGCACGGCTCGGATAGGCTAGGAAGTCGCGCCACTCGGCCGGGCCTGAATAGGAATGGTTCTCAGAAGTAGTCGTGTAAGCGTTCATTATAAAATAACACGAAACTTTTTAAGTCAAAACAACTTTAGATTCTCAAGCTGAAGATAAATGTAAAGGTTTCTTCTTAGAATTGGTATCACTTTAGAGTAGCTTATAATTTACAAGCAAAATATGCGTTAATTACAGTTGGTCGTCAATAACATATATTATCTTGTCTTCCTTGTCCTGATATCAACTGTATATTACAATACTTAAATGACGGAACGGATAAACTTGTATTTCAAAAAAGATATGCCAATCAAAATTTTGTTAATTTACAATATCAAATTAAACATTTGAATCGAACCATTAAAAAAAAATTTAACCATTTAAAAGGCATGTGGCCCATTATGCGAGTCGAAAATGAGCGTGGCGCGACAAACATTTGAAAGTAAACACGTCTGGGGGGCGGAGGCGCGGGACATAACGACTCACATTATCGATGAAACAAACGTCTACAAAAACGTATGAAGCATCAGCTAAATTTATAAACAGGCAAAACGTAATAGTTTGAAGGTCTCATTGTTTATTCCCTACCGCTTCATTTGTCGCTCACGGACCTGAAGGGCGTATTTCTTACGTACAAGGTTTCTACCTTTGTAATTGTATGTATGAATGCTTTAAAACATAATTTATGTCTTAATCTTAAGAACTGAAAGAAAGACGTACAAATGAAACTAAAGCTATATATATATATTCAGCTCGTATGTTAAGGCTTACAATAATTTTCATCATAATTTTCGTTTTTAAAACATTCACACGCAATTTATAATAATTTATTCGCAAAGGGTTCTCGTATTTACGAGAAAAAAGTGTTAATCTGAGACACGAATCTGAAGAGCCTTTGAAAGTACAAAAAGCTCATTATTTGGGAGCAACTTGATCGATTTCCTCGAAACAGAGCTACAAGCGATCGGGCAAATATTAGATTTCGATTACGGAGGCCGCCACGAAATTGGGCGGTCCGTTTTGGAAGGTACTACAAACAGACCGACAGAAACGAAATTTCCACACTGTGCAAGTGAAATCTTACTAATATTATAAATGCGATAGAGATGTGGGTATTTATTATTAGGTAACATCAGAAAGATTTGGATTAAATTGAGAAAAAAGATAGATCCGTTATTTTGTTCCAGAATTATTTGCTTTCTAAAGTACATAATATGATTGTATACGTACATACATCTACCTACCTCATCTGAGAAAGACAGCGCGAGCATGATCGGCTTAGCTTGCCTTTTGAAGAATTAAATTATAAATATCACGTCCAAAACACAATGGCGCAGCGCCGCGCTACGCCGCGTGCCGGCTAAGCTTTCAAACTCCACAGTACGTTCGTGCATTGCGGATAAATTAAAGCTAACATTAATTTTTAAGTAACACGTTTATTCATTAGAAACATTAAAAAAAACATTTCTAGGTTATTACGTTTTATCGCCTTTTTTATTTGGTCTACTTTTTGTTAGAGTTTTATCAAGTCATGTTGTGTTTCCTACCATTTAAATATGAGGCAATAATTTCAGGGTTGTACTCAAATCAGATGTATGAAAAAATCTGATCTTTTGAGCTTATTAATTTCACATTATAGTCAAAACACATGTGTATTAGTGTTGTACTTGCGTGAATAATCAATTCGCGTAACATAACCACAGCTTATGTTATTAATTTACGTTTATTCTGATCGGTCTAGTATTCGCAGTAATTAACGACTGACGCACAAATTAGCAATAAAAATATATTTACATACGGCAGAGCGGAACTGTTTTTGCTTTGAGGAAAAAATGACTCCGTTGCAGCAATACACTTTATAAACATATGTATCACACTATTTGTAACAAAGTACAAGGTAATTCTTGGATTTATGTGGTCATAGATAACCAAAGGCCAGTACAATGATACTTATTAATAATGATGATTTAATCTAAATAATGCAGCTATTGTAATCGAGGACAACCGTTTATGCATAACGCACGTGTGCTGGAACAATACTATTTCTTGTGAGAGAGTGTACACTGGTAGAGTCTATAATGATAAGCGGGATAAAGAATTATATCAGTCGTGACTTAGGATTAGTGACGTGATCACAAAGATTACCGAATATCCGGCACATCATTATTGAAGACCTTTACTACATTTGTACTATGATGTCGAAGTCTGAAGTTTTCGTTGATAAAGAAAAAATATTGTGTTAGACAAGCTGGGGAATGGTAAAGTGGTTTGCGATTCAGAGCAGTGGGCCAGGTGGCCTCTATTAACAACACTATGGAGTTCATTAAGTATTAAGTGAATGTAAAAGGAAAAACCGGTTCAATTGGCGGAAATCTGCACGGCGCAAATATTCAATTGAATCCGTAACGAACTTTGTCGTCTATCGTATTCCTGCGAGTGAGAAATATGGAATCCGTCAGAGCCCAAAAATGATTGAGGTGACAGATAATTTTATTTCCATTCGTAAAATGCAAATAAGAGATTAAGTCCCAATTAAAAAGTGTTATTGTCAAGTGCTTTTTTTAAATTAAGGAGACTACTACTAGACACTACTGCTATCTCCTATTTTACTAATCATTTAACGATTATGAGAAGGAAAACATGAAAAAAACAAAATGCTATTCCATTTCTAAGGGTTAGACTTATGACGTATTTCGGCATAAGTTACATAACGATGAAAGCGATATACCTGTCTTCTGGGTTCCATGCGTGCTTGTGTTGCAGGTCGGGGTGCGCGGGCGGCGCGTCCAACAGCGCGTCGAGGCGCGCGGGCCGCGGCGGCTCGGGCGCTAGTTCGCGCGCCACCACTGCTTTGAAAGGCGCCGTGCACTCGCGCGACACCGACTTTACTCCGCCCGATAGCTTTTGGCCCATGTTCATTCCCCTGCAGCGAGTGCGGGCGCGCTTCGGCAGCACCTTGAGGCCGCCGCCCCCGCCGCCCGCGCCGGCCCCGCCCCCGCCCCTCACTGAGCGCACCCCGCTCTTGTACCTGGAACACAAACATACGTTATTACATACAATTCTTTCAGGCAATAGTCACAACATAATACTTCTGTAAAGATAACTTCCTCTTAGGGTAGTTAAGTCATAGTGCACACAAATTCAACTAGCTCTTATTTCAAGTTCTAAGTGCCTACATTGTGTACTAAACTGACGACAAAATATAAGGTAGACGAATATAAAATATATACCGACTGCAAACGACTGATACTCGTAAATGTCAATTTTGACAAATGGTTTCATATAAAAATGGCTTTTATGAAAGCCAACACTTTGTTGAAATACAGAAAGCAAACGACCTAAGTTATTTGTCATTTTAATGAATTTATTTCGGTGCTACAACAGTCACGCTGATCAAACGAATTGGAATAGATGTCAAGATAAATCGTTTGATCTGTAAATATGATTACGTTAAATCAATTCGTATTCGTATATCGGGAAACCAGACAATATTTATTTGTGAACCCGTCAGTGGTCATGTATAAATAACGTGAATTTGTAATCCGTTTACCGTAGCTTACTTATTTAACTTGATATTTATTAAAAAAAAAAACGTATTTCGTTCTAAATAAGTTATTGCTGTCGTATAGCAGCTGATTTCAAACTGATCCAACGTTACAAAGTTTTTATAAAGTGTTATATGAATAACATGGTTGCCTAACGTTCTTGACCTTTTATGAATAGTGATTTTTGACACGTTAAATCGTTACTTTTAATCAGCTGTTAACATATTCGATTGTGAGAACCGGTTTATAATTTAAAGAAGACGGCGTCATGCGTGTGATTACGTTCACAATCGTTTTCGTTGCGTATTAAGTAGAGTGCGCCTAGCTTAGTTTAACGGTTGACAAATTATTGGATCAAGCACAAGCTAACAGCATCTGTTAATAAATTGGTGTTACTTAATCTATTGTTATATCTGTGGAAACTGGTCGTCCGAGCAGTGAGTGGTCATGATGTCGTCATTGCGCGGTGCGGCGATGGCTGCGAGCGCGCATCTTATGTAACTGCGGCCGTCTAACCGTGAAAGTCGCCGCTCAAAAGCCAAGGTCACCGCGGCCCTGGAGCCTCGCTCTACCACATGCGAATGTTACATGACCGCATCTATAATGGCCTCGGTGCTATTTGTATTTTCCTTGACCGTGACGTCATTTTTACGGCCAAACTATGATTGAACAGCTCGCTAGGAAGCCCCATTAGTCGCAAAAAAAATTCACTGGAGTCATGAAATGTTAAATATTCATGTATAGACAAAACATTATGTCAGTCGGCAAGGGACAGCTAGCAGGCACGCGAGCTACAAGGCCGTCTGCCTTTCCGTCGTGTAGAGTGGCTGTGTAACAAAAGCGGGAAGTGAAAGGCAGTGAATGCGTCCCCCCGTCGCGTCACCTCCGGCCACGCTGCCTTCTTAATCGGCAAAATCTTTCCCAGAACCGCACAGTCCGCTTTATATGCGACGCGACGCTTGTAAATTTGCTTTATACGAAAACAGGAGTATCGTCGTAAAGTATTGGTACTAGTCATACTCATATTTTATATGACATTCTTTATGACAAATGAGAAAAATAAGCGCTTTTGTTCTTCAACCATAGAGCAGAAATAAGGAACGATCAATTAATTTTGTAGTAGCTCGTAAATTCTTTTCTCATAAAATATTAGATAAAAGGACTTGTCTATCATCTATGTATTTATTGTAAAGACGGTACTTTATGTCTGGTTTTGTTTGTTCTTTTGCTTAAACGGTGCTTATATTATTAGAAGATTTTATTTTTACAATTACTGCTTAACCTGGCACTTTGTTTTAGCTTTTCCTTTTGTCAAAGTTGAATCTATAAAAGTGTTAAAACAATCGTAGTAAAAACATTGCCAATAATATAATTCATCCGTACGATGTTCAAAACAGCTTTATATGCGAGAGGTAATCTATCAGATAATCATGCGAGTTCGGTGCCGGTAAATAAGCTGACATATCCACGTGATTATACGACTGACCAAAACACGTTCAACTGCTCACGGCTTAGCGAGTAACACATGGTAAAGAACGTTATAACTCAAAAGAAACCAAAATTCTGTATACCAATGAGTTCAATTCAAAATGAAATATCCTTAACCGACGAACGAATTCATAACCCATTCAAATTTCATCAAATTTTAGTGATGTGATAACACAGGGACCTACATCTCTCACCATACATTAGTGATGTAAAACATAGCCATGCTGATGTGTCGTTCAGCCGAGTTGCGCGCAGACGTCGATTTTTAAACAAACGTGATAATGATCACAACAGTGCACTGGCACTCTGATAGGTATGTTTTAGTATTAGCCTGTAAACGACGATGACATCACTAAGCAATTTACATCGTGGGAAACGTAGGCCATTGTATCGACGTTATCACACGACCTTGTTCAGCACCTGAGCTATGGCTATACCACATTACAATTGCTGACAAATTGCTTCAACATTGGTCCTTAGATCTCATTTTAAGATTCAAAATTCGAAGCTCTTTAATAAAAAGACATGATAAAACAAACGAGATATGACTAAATCGCAAATTCCAATCTGCAAAATCTTATATCCTTTATTCATTTTCCAGATGTCGAATGATTTGAAGCACTATTAGTGTCCTTTCCCTATGAGCCGTCTTACTTTGACTTATCGCTTGGGTGTTCATTAATTATGAGCACATCAAAGAACAGTCTAGCTTCGTCCTTGTTTTGACCTTTTATTTGAAATATTGCATAGTCCGATACATCGATATGTTTCATGCAGATTATGGTAGTGCCTATCATGTCCACGGCAAATATAATCGAAATAGTTCCAAATCGGGCGCGGCTGTGCTCGACACATGAACGTTCGTGCTCGGTGAGAGGTGAATGGAACCGGCAAGCGTTGCTAGGCCGACTACATTAGCGTGCGCCGGCCGGCCACCGGCCTGCCCGCGAGAACAATCAGCCAGGCAAACGTGCCGCGCGCTCCGGAATTGTCATTACAGCCCATCCGCATGTTCATAGCAAGCATAGCATGTAGTTGCTATGCTTTCTTGAGACATGTCTGTTGATAGGTGCGGTGACTTGTTACACTGTCATATGACTTCATCGTTTTTTAACTTTTTAGTGACCTAGCGCATCATTTAGTCACATTTGAAATCAAAACATGTTTAACATAGTGCAGTACCATGGTAGGAACTTTACCCAAGTCGCATCATAAATTTTTACGACATTAAAGAAAAACCAGGAAAGAGATAAAATAATGAGTTTCTTCAACTTGAAACAGTCTAGACCTTCTATCCGTCGCTATATCGCAACAAAAGGAAGTAGTTATGTACAATGTCGGGTTTCTGATCGACCTGTTTGCGTGTTACAAGACAGTGTAAGATGTACTTCGGCTCGCCATTGTTCAGGGTTGGCGCGCGCATTGTCTCGTAATTCAAAGAGCATTCAAGCTACAGTTACGGACTCCGGTAAACCCGTGTCTCAGTAACGTTTACTCGCGCTAACCCGAACTACTCCTTGTTTTATTTCGCTTTAACTGAATTCCCGGAACTTCTGATTGTATTTCACATGATCTTTGACAGTTCATTGGCTGGCTTGGCAAGCGTCCCGCCTTCCGATCCATTCTACTTCCGAACTCGATGATATTATTTATATCTTAAGACATTATTACTTTCATATTCAACGGTACGTTGCCAATTTTTATTTGTAATAACGTAAAAAGAAAAGAAGTTATCGATTAAAATGCATCGCGGTGTACACAAAAAATACTTATGATAAGTATAATAGAATAATAAAAAATGAGAACGTAGGTGTGTAATGGCGTCGTTTAGTATTTTATTTCACTTTCTGGCAACGTTCCGTGATAATGTTTTTCCTATTCCACAAACATTATGTTGGTGAGCAATAAAAAAGTTAAGTTTCCTCGTAGCGCTCCACTCGAGATGATTTTCAAAGACTAAAAAAATCTTTTGTAGACAAGTTGTATTTAACTAAGAGTTGTAGTTTATAGCAGAACTTTGATAATACAACAAATTACAAGAGCCATCTGCCGGGCGCGCCAGGGCATTCAGCCAGCAAGGAGCGCGGCCGATGCCGGTCGACGTCAGACTACATAGCTGTTGAGAGCTTACGCTTATTGTTTGCTTTATTGTATTGGCTTCCACTACTACTACAAGTGGATAAGTTATTCAGAATGCCTTTATTTATGCATTCCGAGCTTCGCTATACAAGCGAAGAAAAATGAATGGAATCGATTCGATTCTGTCAAATAGTGATAGAAAGGAATCAACGGTTCCCCGGGGAATGGCTCGTTGTCGTACTTTATATCCTTCGATGTTCCGACTTATTTTCTAAGCCACTTCATCTCAGAAGCGATTTCCTGTTCTCTTCTATAAACAAACCTTTTTACAAAGTTTGAGAGGAAAATAACACAAGTAAATATCATGGCAGTGAACAAGTTTATAGACTAACTTCGCTTCTCATTCTTTACAGCGATTACATTTTTGAAACACAATTTACAAGGCGCCGGAAAACTCGATTGTAATTTACGTGCTATTATGATGTCGAAATAAACTAAGTTATGATACACTGGAACTTTTTACATCTTTTACGCAACGTTTACCTTAATAAAAAAAATACAACAAAGTCCTGAGAGAAATTGAAATTTCCCAAATTATTAACAGCTTCACTTCTAAAGAGAGAGATAATATTTAAGAACAGGAAGACAGAGTTTCGTAACCTTAGCTTCTATATTGTTATAAGACATTTGTAACATAATTTTTAGAAAAATTACATTCAAGTCGCATCCCCACGCTCATAAAAAACTTGACTAGAAACTTTCACAATTAAGATTTATTTCATAGATACACAGCGTAGGAAAGAAACGTTACAGTAAGTTGTACCAAAGTACACATAAACTTTATACTTAAGAGGTATGTATAATAAAGTTACAACCATCTTTTCTGTGCGTAAGCCGGTGCGGTGTAAAGAAGTGA